AAGCAGAATTAGATAAGCATTCTTTGCCTCCTTCTTTCAGAAGTGTTTGCTTTCTTCTCCCTCCTTAGTAGGCATCTCTCTCATTCCCGTCACAAATCTCTGGGCCCTAGGGATGTGGCCCTCCCTGCCCTTAGAGTGTGGGCTATGAGGCAGAACACAGCCTATATAAATGAGACCCTTATGGAGCCAGGCCCCCCCTAATGGGGCCAACTTTGCAAAGGAGATGGCAGGCAGTGGAGCAGAGAGCAGGGATTTATTTTCAACTGAGAACCAAAAATGTGCTTGGCAAACTGGAGCCTTTCCCTGGCTCTGGATCTGAAAGACAAGCTCACAAGACACCTGGTTTTTCTATCTCAAGATGGTATGATGGGGTCACCACTCCTCTGAGATGAATTTTTAATTGTCAGCAGCAATCCAATTAGTCCTGACCAGGGCCTGTTCTTTCTTTTAGCCTATTTTGCTTTTACCTTCAGGGTTAGTAGCTGGCAGCTAATATCCACTAGAACTGAATCAGCCTAATTATCATAGGGCTGAGCTAATATCCTACTGCAGATGCTAACACAGGCAGAAAAAAGATTGAAAGGGAAGTCCTACCATGACCTGGCTGTAAGCAGCCACTGGTAGGTCCAGACTCCATGCTTTAAAGTTAGCCTGAACATTCCTGGAAAATTTTACTTAGGGTAAACTAGGGACCCCCCCCCCCCAGAAGATATCCAGTTATTTTCATTTTTGCAAGATAGTATAGGATCTGGGGCAAAACTAGACCTCATGCTTTTAATAGTTAATAACCTTAACAGTTGTCATTTATTAAGGCCTGTGCTGAATGCTTTATATAGTTTTTCTCATTTATTCCCCAAAACAATCATTGTACAAATGAAAAAAAACTGAGTCACAGATTAAGTAACTTGCCCAAGGTTACTCTGAGAGTGAGTGGTAGAACCAAAATTCAAACCAAATATGTCACTTTCCAGAGTGCAAACTTTTCACCACTGTAATATAAACTGTCTGCATATTTGGCACAGTTTTCACCGTTTGTTAAACATATGGCCCAAGCAATGCAAGAAGGGTCTATTGAGCAACTACACTGTGCCCCAGCATTGCAGCTGAGGGAGGAAGGGCAGCACTCTGCTTTCTCAGTACTTCCCTGGCTGAAGTCACTTCCCAGTGACTTCCTTCTTAAAGCCTAACTTCTAAAGAGCCATCTACCTACGAAAAGATTATGCTATTGTAAATAAAGCATTGCCTGGTATATGACCATAGCAAGTTAGGAAACTGTGACCCACCAGTATAGCCCATAAGCCACACAGATAGTCAAAAAAGAAATCAAAAAAAAAGAATAACATTTTATGACATATTAACATGAACATTATATGGAATTCAAATTTCATGACATATTAACATGAACATTATATGGAATTCAAATTTCAATGTCCAAAATAAAAGTTTTATTGGAACTGAACCATACTCATTTGTTTACATATTATCATATGTCTACGGGTGCTTTTGTGCTACAAATGCAGAACTGAGGAGTAGCCACAGAGATTATTTGACCTGCAAACCCTAAGATACTTATTGTCTGGTGTTTTACAGAAAAACCTTGCCGATTCTTGCCAGAAGGAAGGATAACTAAGCCAAACTGGCAGTGCGATCAAGAGATTTTTCTCTACCTTTTTTATTTTTTTAATAGTTCCGGGAAAAATCATCTTATCTCAGCATGTAGAGCAAGCCACTTACCAACAGAATACCAGTGGGGATTCCCTTCCCACTTTCCTTGTAGTTAGAAGCAAGACAGCTCATGCAAGACTCATCCTGAGTCCCCCTCAACCTGCGGATAGCCTTCTCCTAGGTCTCAGAAGCTTTAAGACCCCTATACCCTTTTCCTCTTAAACACATTCCCCATCAAACACTGTAAGAAGTAATCGTTGAGAAAATGTGTACTTAATTGTATTTGCCCAGGATATCTTTTTTTTTTTTCCTTTCTAGGTTTCTTTTTTGCTTTTAATAAGCCAATACTATAAGAGCACCATTTCAGCACAACACAATCTTTTGTGAAGTAAGGGATTTTAGTTGAGATCTATGAAAATAGTTTACATGGGAAAGAGGTGTCGAGTGCTGTCAAGAACAGCTTTCTTTCTAAAATGAACCTGTAACTTTCCAACAACCTTCAAATGCACAGAAATCTTAGTTACCATCCTCTAGTATTAGACATAAGTGGAGCCGGGAGAGTCTCAGGAATACCAGTGGTAGCCCTGGGGCCAGCCAGGGAAGTGACAGGGTGGCCTTCACTGTTCAGATATGGTTTATAACAGTGAAGGCAGTATTGCCATAAGAGGAATTGAAACATTGTAAATCTACTCTGTGCATCTGCCATTTAGGTGTCCAGGATATCTTTAACACCAAATTGTGATAAGCTGGGAACTTAAAAATTAAGAAACTAAGATCCAGAGAGTTAAAATGATAAAGCCTTGTTAAACTTCATATTTATGTCGTACTTTCACATATGTTCTTATTTAACCATCTTTAACTTCAAGTGGCTATCAGATAACACTGTTCATTTACCTCTCTCCCTTCTGAACTTGAAATTTGTGAGGCTTTTCTCCCCTTGATTTCTACATTCCACTTCTTACACTTTTTGCCACTCCCTTTAGATGTCAATTATAGCACGTTGCAGCTGCAAAACTGCCTTGTCCAATTTTTTTTTCAAGGAATCGAGTTCTTAATGTGGAAATAAATCACCAAAACTCTACAAGACTCTACAAGTTGTTTATACATTTTTTAAAGGCAGCTTAGATTTGATGAGCTGTTAAACAGTGAAATGTAATCCATTGCCATATATAGCTTCTTCCTACCTATGGAATCCTATTATGGAAATGTGGCTTTCACACTCTCACTTATACCCAAGCTGCAGCCCCAGGATGGGGCATTAAAGAGCAGAGGGAACATGGAAACATGAGGCCACCCTGGGCTTTTTCTAAAAATCTCATTGAAATGAGTTTCCAAGCTCTCAGTCAGGTACAGGGCTACAGGGATAGAGGAATGAAGGAGAGGGCAGCTAGAGCTGCTTTGATTAAATCAGAGGTGGGAGGCCAGGGTCAAAGGACTGCAACTTTATTTTGATATTTTCTGGATTAAAGTCTTCTTGATAAAGCTTGCAGACTATTTGCCTGCCCTCCCATAGTCATGAGAAAACTCACAGTGATTGTAGGAATACTCAGTATCACAAAGCTCATTATGTATGTCAACAAACTTCCACATCTGTTACCTCCTGTGAGCCTCACAGAGTCCCTACCATATGACAGAGTAGGACAGGGACTATTGTTCTTATAAAGGTACAAAAATAGAAGCAGAGAAGATGAGTGATTTGCCTAAAGTAATAGATCAGTCGTGGCAAAGGCAAGACAATGCTGGAATTTCCGTTTCTTCAAACATTTTTGATGTTTTGTTTTCCATCCCGCATGTAGTAAAAGAATGATCTTTGGAGTCAGGCACATTGGGGTTCAATATTAGCTTTGCTGGGTGCCTTGAACTAGTTATGGGACTTTTCATTTCCCCATTTGTAGAAATCAGGATAACAACTGTATCATAGTCTCATGAGGCACTAAGGAGACCCTCTAGCACAGTGCCGTCCACATTATAGACATTCAGTAATTTTATTTTCCTGATACAAATTATTTATGTATCTGTGATGCATATATGTGTACATACACATATATTTATATAATTTAACCTATATTCCCTGAGAGATCAAGGAAACATTATATTCCTTAAGGCACAGTTAGATCTCCCAAGTGGTTAGTAGCAGAGCCAGAGCTAGAACTAAACAGGCCTCATAATACCTCAGCCCAGGTCACCCTTTAATGGGGGCATTACCTGCCCCTGGGGTCCTATAGGTTTAAATGACTAGTCAAAGGACACCTGTATTGAACAGATACAGATATAGATTTCTGTAGCCTGCAGAGTGGCAGTGTACTTAACCTTCTATCCTAAATTGCTCTTGCTGCTGGTGGGACCCACATATAAACTGTACCCTTATCAACATCCCATTAGGATTTTTCAGATGCACAGCATACTGTCAAAAGTGCCTGATCATGTAACAAAGACTTGGACTTCCAGGACGGAACTTGAGGTTATTAGTTTTCCTTTGTTTCACAAGAAGACAACAGTATGTATAATGTTCCAAGATGGCAGAACTGACAAAATTGAGTTTCCACTCCATCCCCTGCCCTACAAGCATCTATTTCTGTGAATTACAATGCCATCCCCTAAAACTGCTGATAAGGCCTCTGGGTATCCTTTGGTGACTATCAGTGGGGAGCTTTGGGGAGGATTAAATACATACCTAGTGTTCAATGTGCCTCACAGCTCTGTGACTGTAAGTTTTCTGAGTTTTAATGGCTGATAGTGGATGTGTGTAGTATGACCAGTGAGAATTTGGTGGATTATTCACCAAACGCACAGTGGACCTTAAATCATCTTGTGCATATAGCAGTAAAGCCAAGTGCTGCCTCTCTGGCCCGCACTCTTGTTTTTGATGAGATGTGAAGCAGTATCCTCCTTTAACTTTTCTAGTTGACCACCACCCCCTTTCTGAATTCTTTCCCTATGTCCTCACCAGCCCATTTTGGCTCTCTCCCCAATTTCTTTAGACTAGGGGTGAGTTCAAGGGCAGGAGAAATTGAAAGTGGTTACTGACTCAATAGAACGAAAGGATATACAGTGTGGAACGGGAGATCTGCATATGAAGAAATAAGATATTACTGCTAAATATGCCAGCTCAAAAGATGGAGGGGTTATAGTCTCCCTAAAGATTAACATTACCAACTCAGTAAATAAGAAGATGATTGAAGGGAATGTCATCCCTGGGAGAAGGGACCATGAGAGTTTATTTGACACAATGTCTCAGAAGGCCCTGCTCACCAGGCTGGCCTGGTCTGATCAAGGAGGGCAAAGGAGGAGATCCTGCCAGGCTCTAACTCACCTTTCCCTCTGTCACCCTACAGGTGTTAACAGAACTGAAATCCGACAACCAGAGGCTGAAAGATGAAAATGGTGCCCTCATCAGAGTCATCAGCAAACTGTCCAAATAGGCTAGGCTCCAGAATTATGAGGAAGGAAAAGGACAGCATTTGCTGCCTCCACCCTCTTTCCAGTCCTTGCCTTCCAACCAAACGAAATGGATGTTTTGGTGGAAGGACACTTCTAACACCCTTTTCAGTCACCTCTGTACACCCTACATTTTCTCTGCACTCTCAATGCCCTGTTCTTCCTACACCCCTATCCCAAGTTTTATGACAGTTTTAATTGAAGCATGATTGTGATCATTCGAGCCATCTGGAGAGTGCTCTGGGGAGTACACCAGGCTCAGCTGTGGACCCCTCAACTTCCTGCTGCTCAGCTGCTTTGTCCACATTGGATTTGGTCCAAACATGTAAGGCTTCTACCCAAATCAGTATCCTTCAGCTTTTTACATTGACTTAGTGTCCTCTGATACAGGCGATTCTTGTGGTAGCCACGCCAGGATCCTGACTGAGGTGCCAAGAGCAACAGCAGGATGTTGAGTTGATCATTGGATGGTCTCTGGAGCTGTTAGAGTCCAAGGTGACAGTGGCTGCATCGAGGCGTTCTATTCTTCTTCACCTCTCAGGAACTGACTTAATGGTATTTTTTCTATCAACACCCCAGTACTCCCTGATTAATTTTAACCCTTCTTTCTCCCTCATACCTAGTCCTTTCTCCAAGGCGCAAATGGCCCTGGCTTCATTTATTCCTTTGCTTTCTGTCCTTGTATTTTTTTTTTTCTCCTCACTCTCCCACCCCCTCACTCAATGGTGTAAAATCTAGGACAGAGCACCTGACTTCAGTTGTCCTTGTCCATTGTGGGAAATCATTATTCTGGAGACAAGAAAATCATCACTCTGGTGCCTTGGTGGCAGCACCACTGCCCCCTCCCTAAAAGCCAGACCATGGCATAAGTGTCAGCTCATTGTTTTCATCTCCCACTTATCTTCCCCCTGCAAAGTGATTTTCTTTGTAAAAAAAAATCTGGGCTCTGAATACCCTATTGTGCCGCCCTTCCTTGACCTTGTTTTCCTCTCTTCACACTGACACCTGCTTCTAATGAGAAATGATGTCAGTGCAAGGAGGAATGAGAGGTGAGAAGGGGAGATGGTTGGGAGACGGACTAGGAAATGGAAGTAGGCTGGAAAGACACATACGGCAAAGTCAAGTATCTGAGGCCACTTGCAACATTGTGAGAAAGAAGATGTATGATAGCAGCCCATTAGGCTGTGAGAATCGTGGTGAATTTGATTATTTCCAATGGTTAGATTTAGGGGAGAGATTTACGTTCTTAGAAATTAATAGGGCAAACGGCACTTAATAGGGGTTTAATGGAATGAAGTACTTTTCAACCCAGTGACAAGAGTCATGGAAGTTTAGAGTGGAAAGGCCCGGAGGTCAGTAGGTCCAGCTTTCTATTATTCTGTCACAGGGACCCCTGCTACCGCAGCTTTGACCCATGGGCATGGTCAGGTAGCCTCTGGTGGCTATGCAATTATTACTCAAAAGTTAGGCAACTCTAATAATGAGAGAGTTTTTCCTAATATGTGTTGAAGTCTGCCTGTGGATTCTCCTTGTAGTCCAGATCTATCTGCAGCTCTTTAACAGCCCTTCAGATACGTACAGTGGGTGGTCTCCCCTCAGTCTTACTTTGAGCTGCCGTTACCCTGGTCCTAGTCCTTTCAGTTATCCCTCATATGGCATGCTTTTCTTACCTGTCACATCCTCCTCTAGACAAAACCAGCCTTTAAAAATATCATGCCCAGGCCTGGAGAGAATACTCCACAAATCCAGTGCAAAATTAAACCTTTAGTTCTTGATGATAACTTAGCATTAATACTTAAAGTATTTTCCTTTTGTAGGAGTTTTATCCCTGGGTTCATTTGAGTGTACAGGTCATTAAATCCTCATCATTTCAGGGTTGCCAACGATATTCGGTGTTTAGAGTGGTTCATTTCCTTAACATATACTACCTCTGTCTGTTAATTCCTTTCCTGACATGACGTGTAGCTCTCTATATGGCCCTCTGTCTGAAACATCATATGCCCTTTAAACTAGAAGCTGTAGCTCAAGATCCCAATTCCAGAACAGGAGATATGTTTCCTCTGACAAAACCCCATTTTTAGAGTATATAAAATTCTGTCTTCCATTTCCAACCATTTTTCAAGAGAAGCTGATACTCTCTTGAGACTTTGTATTATCATGGGAATACTGTAAGTTCAGTTCTCAGGGAATGCTAAATTAGAGTAGTAAGTTTTATATCTTTCACTATAAGCATTTCCTTCATTCTGGGAGAGGAAATCAACACAAGGTGTTGACTAATTAATTATCCTGGCACATTTTGAATATTGGGGAAGGAAGATCATACTTCTTAAGAAAATTGGATTACTAGGAATACATCTTTACCCCTTTCCACTCAATAGACCAGAGAAAGGGATTACAAAGAGTCCCGTCAGATCTGTTTGTGCCTTTCAAAAGTATTGGGGGCAGGTTCTCAAAACTCTTAGATTGGTGTTGTACCCCTGCCACTTCACACGGCCCTTTCATGTTAAAGCTCACTTTTCTTGCCAAAAAGTTTTCCTTGTGACAAGAAATTTGCCAGCTTTTCAATCTCAGGAATACTGGATTCTATGGCCAAGAACTCATGAAAATGTAAGCTCTCCTAGGTAATTTCAAGTACTTTCTCTTATGCAATTAATTTTAGATGAACTGATTTCTGGTCTATCTCCAGAGATAAAATAACCATTCTTTCACAACTGTATTGTCTGGAAGCCCAAAAAGGTGGTAGTTATAGGCCTTCTACTAACCAGCAGTTCTCTCTGGATACTGGCATCAGCAGGTCTCCCTTTTCTTGTGCTGCTTAGACAGGTACCTACCGCTAGCCTCTTCAGTGGCCACAATCCTCAGTCCTCACCTGCTGGTTTGGATACTGATGAGCACCCCAGGCAGCTCAAGCTGAATGAATAGCTGCAGACTTGGCCAACAACATGAGCTCAGGCCTATCACTTAGAGTCTTTACATGAAGTATCAGAATGGGGAAGAGAATGTTCTTGGTACAGCCTTACACCCTCTGTTTTCATTAATTTGTTATTTTTCAGAAACTGAGTCACACCTTTGGAAGTAATGATTTGGCCATTCCAGAGATTCTGTTGCTAAAGTTCGCCTGTTTGTCTTTCCAGGGCTGCTGACCCTTTTCCAGATAGCTCCAGAGTATGATGACCCCTAGCCCCATCCCAGTCTGTAGTGAAAGGGTTATGTGAATCTCAGGGTGTTGCCACTAAAGAATCTAAAGAATAGACATGCTTTGGGCTTACTCAGTGCACTAGATTCTCTAGTGGGCCATTGTCACTTGATGTTCCCTAGAGCTGCTGTGTCTTCCAGCTGCAGGATGTGTTTGCTTCTCTTCTGGGCTTTCCCTGGTTTCTGTCCTAGTTCCCACCCCAGGTTTAAGAACACTTAGATTCATTTATTGCTATCTGAGGCCACTAGTGAGATTTCAGATCTGTGTTTTGCAACATTTTACCCATTTCCCTTCCCCAAACCATGTTCTTATTAGATGGTTCCACTCAGGAGGCAAGGAAGCTAAAACTCATTGTCTGTGGATCCTACAAAAGTATGTGTGAATTACTGTTTCTCTACTAGGGGCATTTCATTGAGCCAAAGATGATGGAAGAAGAAACCTCAAAGCCATGTACTTTGTTAGGTGTCTGGATTTTTGTCCTCTTTGCAGCCTTTCGTAGCCACAGACAGACACTGTCTCCCCTCAGAGAAAGGCCAGTGTTTCAGTCCAGGCTACTGGTGCGTGTTGGCACTCATGAGGTGGGGCATGGGGTAAGCAGAAGAAGCCTGGAGAAGAGAGAACTATTTAAAGTGTCACCAGTTATTCAGCTTCCAGGCGGCTTTACACCTCAAAAGGTACAAAAAGGAAAAAGAAAGCATAAAGGATTCAGAATTTAAGCAAAAAGGAAAGGGAAACTACCAGATGAGGCACTGGTTCCACCGGAGCTTATCAGTGAGGTAACACTGCAGGAGGCCTGGTGTCCTTCCCTCAGAGATATCATCAGGGGTCCTCAGATCCCATTGTTTATGCCAGCACTGCACTTTAAGCACAGGGTTATCAGTCAGAGGTGGTGTAATTGGCCTAAATCTAGGCCCAGTGATTACTACAGATACCATACTCTATCACCCAGGCTGGAGTGCAGTTGTGTGATCTGCAGCTCACTGCAACCTCTGCCTCCCAGGCTCAAGCAATCCTCTCACCTCAGCCTCTCAAGCAGCTAGGACCGCAGGTCTGCACCACCATGCCCAGATAATTTTTGTGTTTTTTTGTAGAGACAGGGTTTTGCCATGTTGCCCAGGCTGGTCTCGAACTGCTGGGCTCAAGTGATCCACCTGGCTGGGCCTCCCAAAGTGGCAGGATTACAGACACAAGTTACCACGTCCAGCCCATCATATTGATTTTCAAGGCAGGGTCTAACCCCTCATAAGATGTGAGTTCTTCCGACACAATAAGCAAGGCAGCTTTGAGGACAGAAAAAAGCAATATAAAAAGATAAGGTCTTAGAACATCTGTATTCCAAGGCCATCCCTTCTTTTAGCCATGTGACTTTGGGCAGGTCACCCTCACTGTAAAATGAGGTTGGACTGGATAATTTTTATGTGCCCTTTCCTATTGGCTTAGAATTCCGTGATTTATTCATTCTTAGAAAGATCAGAATATTTCTTGGGATTTCTGCTTAAAAAATTCTAACCTCAAAAATCGAAGTGCAAAAATTTTTGTTTTCATCTGGTTTTAAAGCTGTTTAACATGAGCACATCAAGGCTGACTTCTCATCCTTGTTGGGAAGCGAATTTAATATTGCGGGTAATTGAATGCTGTTGCAATGGCTTTCCCTCCTAATGGCTTGGTAAGATTATTAAAGCCTGCAGAGGTGGAAATTGGAGCTCATGGGGAAATGGATAGAAACCAATTTGTTGCAAGCAGCCTTTGGACAAGTTGTTTTAATAGGAAATAGACCTGCTGCTTCATAGGTTTCCTCAACCACCTTTCCTCAGCTTTCTCAAAATGTGATCTACATTGGCTCTTCACACCCAAATAGCAGACCAACAGTTTTTCTGTTCAGCACCATCTGGTTCATTGTCTTGAACTCTGCCTTACAGCAGCAAGATAATTTTCCTCGATAAAAACCTCAATCTTGAGTTCCACTGAGCTCCTCCTCTGGATCCTGGACTATCAGAAGTAGGAAGTTCTGGTACTGTTCAAGATGGTCTTTCCTTCAAAGCAGGTCTGAAGAGGAGACTACCAAAGCAGTAAGTGTTTACAGACCCAGAGTCCACACAACCACATTGCATAGAACAGCACTTGGCCTCCGCAGGCTTCCTATAGGACTGGGTATAATTGGAGTGAAAGAGCAGAGACCCTGGAAGCTGCGATGGGAAGAAGGCAGAAGGCTCAGGGGCTTTGGACAAAGAATAGGGCGGAATCTGCAAGCACTGGGAAGGATTTCACAGAAGCAAAGCTTCGGCACACAGAGGCGAATTCTGTCTCTGTGGTGACTTCATCCCTCAGCAGCTGAGCAGAGATTTTAATCAGCTTCCTTAATGGGTATTGACACTGCTCAGGAAGCAGTAGACCCTATCAGGGACAGCTATTGATCTTTTGTGTTCTGATTAGATTGGAAAATAGATCAACTTCATTGTAGTCCAGGAACTGTTGGTCACAGCTACTAAGAATGAGGTGATTTCTGAGGGCTGAGAAAAAACGAGAATCTTGACCAGCAGCCAGCAGCTGCATGGTGAAAGAAGGTGCATTCACTTCTCCTTTGAGGGTTAGGGTTGAGGGCAAACATAGAACCCAGGGATGGCTTACAATCCAGTGTCCCGGAAGCCCTCCTTGTGGAGAACTGTAAGAGGTGGGTGTGTCTAAAGACAATACCATTAATGAATGTTCTGGCCTTACCTAAAAAGGTTTAGCAATTTGGGGATAACTCTTGCTTCTCACTTATGTGTGTTCACATGCACATTTATGAACCCAGAGCTTTTAAAATGAGGTCTGGCATACAGTTGATTAGAAATGAAAACTCAGAAACCAATTGTATCCTAGTATATTATTCTACTAAATCATATCTTTTGTTTTTCCCCCTCCCTTTTAATCCCCCAAAGGACCTATTTGAACCATTCCCCAATTCATCTGCTTATCATTTTGGACTGTGAATCTGCCAGAGTGATATTTTCTGTTATTTCTCCTCCAGATTTTTCCCTGATGTTTGCAATAAAGATTTACTTGGGTGGCCCTTTAAGGTGACATCAGGATGCTCTTATGTCCTTCCAGAATAAACATACACTTCACCCCTCCACATTCTTAATTCCTTGTTTTCCTCACTTGAAGCCAAGGGTGCTTTAGAGAGGTGGTTTTCCATGAATCAGCCAAGATTCCTGGAGAAGTTGAATATACCAACCACCACCACTGCCCCCTCTTCCAGTTTCAAAGCTCCCCGGCTATGCTAATGCCCCCTCAGAGATGAGGTTTGACTTGTAGGCCCATATGACTCCTCCATGTCCTGGGCAAGGAGACCATGGGTAGCCATGTCTGGTTTACTCTGTCCTGAGACTGTTTATAGCTTAAAACAGAAGTGTGTCTTCCCAGCACAAACTCTGTCAGCGCATCTGGTGGCAACAGCTCAGCCCATTCAAAGACCAAGGATTCAGAAAGGGCACACTGATAGTGGGGAGCCTCTTAAGAACCTCTAATGTTCTCCCAAAACCGGAGTTAAGGGTCAGAATGCAGATCCTGAACAAGGGACATGCTAGGGCCAGAAGTAGCTTGACTCTCGCCTAAGTATCTGTGCCTTTGCCTGTTCTTTCTCCCATTCTACTGAGCCTGGAACTGATTCCCACTTGCCTTCTAATGAAGAGAGGCCAGGTACAGAGAGTTTGGAGGAAAAAGACACCAGGAGGCAGGCTGCGGGGTTGGAGAGGGTTCTGAAAGGATGCAGCAATCCAGAATACCTCCTTTTCTAGCCAGCATCCCTTGAACTTCTGAAAGTTTGGGTCTACCACTGGCTGGCACACCAGGGCAATGATTTCCCTGAAGGAGGAAGAAATGTTTCACCCTTGCATTCTTCTTGGAGAAGATACAGCCTGTGCTTAGTTGAGTGGTTCATGCTCAGACTTTGGTGTGAACCACTCAACTTCATTCTTGTCTTTACCTTGACCTTGATCAACAGGGGTGAAAAGAACCACCGTGGTGTCTCCATGCCCTCCCATTTTAGTAGTAGCATTTTGTGTCTTTCCTCCACCCCTCACCTGAGTTCCACCAAGGTTAACGCATCAGATGTAACTTTTTCAGCTGAGTTGTATGATTGATTTTCAGTCCACTGTAAATACACCTGGGGTGGGGTGGGGTGGGGTTGGGGGTGTTTAGGAAGAGGAAGCCAGACTTGCTTTGTGAACTGAATGTATTTTTATGCAATTTTGAGTGGCCTTTCAACCCTAAGACGATTTTGTTTTACTGGTTGTTATTATATAGTATTGAGTATTCCGTGTTTGTTTGAAAGTTTGGGAATAATATTCACATCTATATGATGCCTGTAAACACAACAGTATTTATAAATGAGTAAATAAAATTGTGTTTTAACTTTGTGACTGTCTCCACAGTTCAGGGCACGGAATTTATAGAATTTCACATCTAGGAGAGCCTCTTCTGATTTTACATCCTCTTTACCATTGGTGAGGGCCTCACCCACCAGCCTCCTGCAGCTCCTGTCCACAGAGAGGCCCCTTCCCCAGGGACAGCCACAAGTGAGTCATGGCCACTGAGGTAAGGGTCTCTCATCAAGGAATTTCCTAAATGGAGTCAGGCCAAGGAGAAGCCTAGATTGGAGTTCAAAAGAACCATATGAAGATAAGGAGGTTTCAAGCTTCAAGTAACTAAGAGTATGGTTATTTCTTGGAAGACAGCAGGGCCAAGTGACAAGGGTGTTAAGCCCGTCCAGGTGAACACTAGCTACTGTAGTACATGGGAAAGCTGAGGTCTAGGGAGGTGGTGATTTCCTTGGGCTCATGAAAGTCTCCTGGCGTCACCCTTAGTCATCTGTTATGTACATAACAGTCCTCGTGAGGTCACTGTTTAATTTGGGAGATCCAAAACTGTTCTGTAGCTCCAAACTACAGAAGTTATTTGGGAGTTATTGAAGGTTAAATCCAAACTCAAAATGAAGGAGCCATACCCAGAGAGGGGCTGTTCAGGCTCACTGGCAGGGTTTGTATGTGGGTGGCCAGGTCTGACCCTAGGCAGCCAGGATTCGGATCTGGTTTCTCCAGCAAGCCCTGCCTCTGGCTTTTCTCAGCCTTGTGTTTTCTGCCAAGCGGAAATCCCTGGTCACTGACTTGAGGAGAGGTCAGGGAGGGAAGATTCTTTTCCTCTGCTGTCAGCCAGCTGTTTGTAGCCCGAGCAGCAGCAGAACAAACACACTTGATGTCATGGTTGAAGAATTCAGTCCTGTCCTGGGGCCCAAAACAGAGGCAAAGAACCATGACCGATGTAAAGGATTCCTAGACTGCAAATAAATATTTCTCTTTCTGTCCCCTGCTGGTTGTGGTAAGGTCTGCAGAGACAGTATCACCTAGCCATCATGTGGTCCAGCCTTCTTGGGGGCAAAGGAGAAGGCCACTGCCTCTGCATTAGCAGAGTAAAAAGCTCACATTCTCAGCCAGGAGACCCTCAGGTGACAAATCCCAGTCCTGCTGAAAGGCTCATGCCCCTCACCCAACCCAGGCCACCCACCCTCCCCAGCCTCAGGGACTGAAGCAACAAGACAAGCTAGATGGTAAAGGATCTGGGCTCACGCTCCCCCAGGTGGGCAGCTCCTGTCCCTGGCTTGCCTTCACTACGCCTCATGCTGTTGAACCTGATGGACAAGCACAAGTCTAGCCAATGGTGCTCCCGGGGGACATGTGCTGGTGTAAACTGACAAAATGGTAGCTGCTGGTCTGTCCTCAAGGAGAAGAGACAGATGGAAGTGGGAACTCAAGGAGTTTTACTCTTCCCTGGTCTTTGGGGCAGTGTTTTCTTCCCTTTCCTTAAAAATTCTGAAGCCTTATCCCTGGTCCCTAACATCTTTGCTTCAGAAGTTTTAAAAGACATTTCAAGTTCTTTGCAAAGAGACAATTGAGGACTTTGTAGAAATTCTTTTCAAATTCCCATTTCCCAGGGCCAGACTCCCTCTTGTCACTGGGCTCAGACTGTGGCTGTTCCCTAAGGGAATTCAAGAGTATAGTCCCCACCACCACCCTGCCCCACCCAGCTTCTCAGACAGTGTTCCTCGGCACCACCATGCTCCCCGCAATTCCACAGGCCTGGCATGTGTCCTCAATCAGGAGATGTGTGGGCCCCAGCAACCACCAGAGTGCCAGTCTGGTCTTCATCCACCTCCAGGAGAAAGGCACCTCAGCCCCTTTTGCTGCTTCCCTGAAGGGAGATTCTGGCTAGAGGCCAGAGCCTCAGCCCCATCTCATCACCCTCACCCACCATACTGACCCTCACAGGCAGCTCCCACTCCCTCACCCCCACCTCAGCGCAGCAAAAACAACCAGAGACACCCCCCACCCCCAGGTTTCTTTCAGCTCATTTCTTTAATAAGGAGGCGCAGCTCATTACAAAATAACAATTTGACAAGAGATCAGACAAGAACAACAGAGTCCACATAAGGGGGATGGAGAGCACTGCCAAGCAGAGGTGGGGAATGGGGCGGGGTGAGGACTGTACATGTGTCCTTCCTATGGAGACAAAGGCAGGGCTCCTGGTGGGGTGACCTGGGTGAAGGCAGGCTCTGCCAGGCCCTGGTTTTGAAGTTTCCAGCCCTAGGGTTTTCAGAAAGCAGCAAATCAAGTCCTTAGATGGGCAGTAGTCAGGGCGGAAGGGTCAGCATCTTTGAAGAGCCCCCAAAAGTCCTGAGCTCTAAGGCAGGCGGGATGGAGGAACTCTTGGCACCCCGTGCACACTGTTCCCATCACCTCGCCATACAGACTCTCTCAACTCTTGCCTCAATTTCTGTCTCTGCTGTGGGTGTGGAGAGTGGGAGGTCCCCAGAGAGAGCTGGAGGAAGCAAGACATGTCTTCACTCGTCTAAGCATCTGATTCCAGCCTGCTCTGAAATGGTCCCCTCCACCCTCTCCACTCTTTCATGTCCCAGCACAAAGGTCCCTGGGACTTCTGTGTGCTCACGAGTCGTGGTTTGTGAAGGGCAAGCCTGCCTAGGCACTTCGGGCCTCATCGAATGTGCCCTGCCTGATTCCCCTCCTGTTCTCTCTCTTCTTCCTCATACTCATCACAGTTGCCAGGCCTAAGGCATCCTGGGCTCTTCCCATGCATTACTGCCCTCAGGCACTCGTGGGGCCAGGGGCTGCAGGCAGTGGGGCTACCTATCCCTCTCAGTTCAACAGGATGACCTGGGGCCTCAGAAGCTCCCAGGCCTCTCTACTCACCTCTCTGCTACTTGGTGCAGCTGGCTGGTGCTGCTCTGGGGAGCAGGTGTGAAGGTCAGGGGGCTAGGTTCACACCTGCTCTGCCCAAACCTCTGACCCTCCCTCACAGCTGAACCTGCCTGCCCCACTCTCAGAGGAGCCCTGGTAGCCCTGAGGTTGCCCCGCTATTGGGCTGCTTCTGTCAGACTGCAGGACATGCGAGGGCAGAGCATCAGCCCCTGTGTTCACCGGCTTCTCCCTGAGTCCCTCCTCCATCACCACCCATGGACCCTGAAACCACAGAGGTAAGCAGGGATGGTTCTGTCACCCCTGGCTGGGCCACTGACTGGCTGCTCCTGAAAGTCCTGGTTACCTCCAAAGGGGCCCCAGGAAAGATCCAGAACCAGGGAGTCCCACTGCTGCCTCACCCAGAATAGAGATGGAGCTAACTGTGAACCCAAGCTGAGGAAGCCAGCTCGGGCAGGGACAGCCTGGGCATCTCCTAAGGCCCCACTGGAAGCCCTAGACACTGTCCATTCTCATGACACAGGGCTGAGGGAGGAGGGGGCGACAACAGGTGAGCCCTTCACAAGTGTTCTGTGGGGAGCCAGTCAGAGGGACACGGGGGCTCCTGGGAGGAGCCTAGGGAGGCCCAGTCTCCAGCAGGAAACCCCCTTTATGGCTTTTCAGTGAATTCAGACAGTGGGAGGAAGGGGCACACCATACACATACACAGGACACGGAAGCAACTGGGATGCCAGATACCAGGGTGGACACTGCACCGGGCCCCGAGGTTGGCTCTGCAGACAGGTGTGCAGCAAACAGGCCTTCAGAGCGACAGGGTCCTCCAGCATCTCCCGTGGCAGGGCTGGACCAGAGCTGGCACCGACTCCCGCCTGCTGATGGCTCCCATGGGGGGTTTTCCGATGGGAGGAGACAGGGGTGGGGCTGGGGGACAAAGACTTTACACGACATAAAATCAAAGAAACAGCCTCAACCAGTTCTGTAAAACAGGTTTGCGGTTGGGAGATCAAGGGGACTCTCAGCGTTGCCATGCGGCTATTTACAGAAAGTTGTAGACATGCATCTTGATTAAACAAGATTCTCTTCATATGCTTCTAGGTAATTATCTTCTTTTATATATAATTAAATACACATGGAGGGGACAGATGAGGCTCAAATGGCTTCAGAAGGTTCTTATCTTGTCGCTTAAAAAATAAATTCATGTGTCTTCAAGTCACAGTGTCCCCTTCTCAATATTGCAGTTCAAAAAACTGGTTAAGTCAAATCCTTGGGGTTCCTGGCCCCCTGGGACCGAAGGGAGAGGGGAAAAGTCATAGGGTAGCATCCCCAGACACAATGCAGGAGGACCAGTTGAATTTCAGATAAACCACCAATTATATTTTAGTATAATATGCCCCAACTATTGCCTAGGACATACTTACACTTAAAAATTGTTCCTTATCTGAAATGCAAATGTAACTGGCCATCCTGTATTTTTATTTGCCAAATCTGGCATCCACAGCATGGGGCTCCGGGCCACCAGAATCAGTACTTGGGACTCCTCCCTGCCTGCCACTGCCCAGGGCTCTGAGAGAGCGCCCCAAACAGCTTTAGGTGGGAGGGACAGAGGAGAGGGAAGGGAAGGGGCAAAGCAGAGGATGTGAGGGCAGTTCCTGGCTCAATCTCTTTCTGTCTTTGAGGGGGAGGGGACACCATCAGGGACAGGCTTTCTCTCTCTGAGGTTGGGTGAGACCCAGGACTTAGATGCCTTATGAATTAGCCTAGGACATTAAGGGAACACGGAAGCTCTCACTCCCCAATCCCAGGGAGGTTTTCAACCTCTTTGCTATCACCCATCCTTGCCCCCACCCTACTGCATGGAGGCAGGTTTCTAAGAGAGCTGGTTTTACCCGCAGGAGGGCTGTAGCGACCCCTCTTCTCCCTCTCGCTGAGGCCTTGGGCCAGCAAAACATGCCACACTGATTCCGCAGAGACACAAGTTATGTATGCTTTCCTAGGAAGAAAAAAAGATCAGGATCTGAGGCTGCGGCCTAATCCCTGCTGCCTCATCCTCCAGCTGAGGGATTCCAGGAAAGTCACTTCGCATTCTTGCCGAGTATCTGCCTACTGCCTGGGATTGCCCCAGCGTTCTTTACCCAGCCTCCCCCAGGCCTGTTTCCGCTTCCCAAGAGCACAAAAATCTGCCTCTAGCTCTGGCAGAGTTAGCTTCCCTTCTGGAACAATTATTCCGGGAGGAAGAAGAGAACGAGCTTTCAGACCTTACCCCAGTTTCTGGTGGGATTAGGTTTGGGTTTTCATGGTCTCAGCCTCTCTAAAAATCACCTCTATACTACTTTCCTCTCTCTGGAACAGACCTTGAGATGGAAACTCATAGCCCCAGAGGCGTCCAGAACTCCTTGCTAGCCAGACACCCGAACTCTAGATCCCGCTTAGTGCCTACACCCCAGTACCCTGACATCCCCAGAAATAAACCAGCCCAGCAGTGAGTGAATGGCATGATGCCCTGTGGTTTGAGCTACATCAGCCCTCAGGTGTGGAAAACTACAAGCAGAAGCATGTTCCCACCAAGCCCATGGACCAAGACAGATGATGCCATCCGCTAGGTGGCACGTCAGGACCAGCTGGGACCTGGGGAAGGCACTGCTCCCCACAACCACACTGGCTCCACACTGGTGCCAAGATTCAAAGTTACTCAGCAACCTGTCCCCACCCCTCAAGGCTGCTCACTAACAGTGGGCTCAGAGTAATAAAATCCAGCCCTCGTCACCAGGCACATGGACACCCAGACCATCAAAGGCTCCTACCATTGCCTTTCCTCCTGGTCAAGGAAGTACAAATCTTGGGCTTTGGAAGGGCTGAATGAAGTTCATGAGTGGAAAAGAATCCCAGGTGGTAGAAGGTGGATTGGGAAAGGGGAAAGGAATAAAGGTAGCAGGGATATCGACAAGGGGGTCTCTATGAGTGAGTCTGTGGGATATGGGTAAGGAGAATGAGTCTGGGGAGAGACCCTGAGAAAGCACCAAAATCCCACAGCTCTGGGGATGGGAGAAGAGTCCAGTGATTTCTGATGTCCGTATCAGGAAATCCTACTCTGTGGCCACCCAGCTTTCTGAAAGCACCCGATTGTCCCACAACTCTCTACCATGACCACACCTTTGGCCCCAAGGACCACAGCTCATAATCCTGATCAGAGTCTTACCTTCCCATCGTTAAGTGCACACGTACACACGTACACACACACACACACAGCCCAGTACAAATGTAACTTCCAGGTACCACTAACAAGACAAAGAAGGATCTCCGAGAGACAGGCAGGCTCTCCAGTGTGTTTCTGGTGGGGGTATTCCCTCACCTCCCTCACTCCTTCAGCCAAAAAACAAAGCAAAACCAAAAGCCCCTTCCCTATTTTTAAAATAAAAAGACACTCTGCACCTTCTTCATGCTGGATCCTCAAAGCCTTATTCCCTCAACACCATCCGTCTGTCTCAGGTGTCTACAGGAAGCTGAAGTGGCCCAGATGGGGCAGCATGGAAATGCTGCCATTTGTGCTGGGAAAGAGATACTCAGGCTTCTGGAGAAGCCGTGAGTCTTCTGTGGTGAAAAAAATGGCAAGGGCCTAAGGGCTTCATGGATGGAAGAGAGAGGCCAAAGGAAGGGAGGCAAAGAGGGCTGGCCTCTGGCCACAAGGGGACCTCACTCTCTTGTCCAGGCTGAAGGTTTGGAGGAAGACTCGGTGCAAACCTGACTAACATATATATGGCTTTTATATCAGGGCTGGGGACAAAAGGTGAACAGGGAATAGGATACAACTGAGCACGGTCAGAAACCCTGGCAGGTCTCCTCTGCTACTCATTTGGAATGGATGCCCTTTGTTTTTTAGCTTTCATAGAGAGAAGTCCCCCAGTGGTAGGACAGGGCCTCCCCATAGGTCTCCCTGGGCCACTCCAGCTACCTATCAGCTCTCCAGCATGGAGGGCAGAGGGCCCAGGAAGCAAGGAGTGGGAGTTTGGGGGAATTCCAGTGCTCTCCTATATTTCATCCCAGGAAATATCAGACATCTGTCCCCCATCCTCTTCTTATCATCCCCTTCTTACCTGGACCTCAGGGCAACTAAGAACATTTAAACTTTCCTTTTAAAGTCCTATGGCTCTGCACAGATAACGTGTCTTCAGACAGTGTTGCTCCACTTAAAACAGAAGCAAAAGCACGATGGGGAATAAATGCAAATGAACCAGACTGCTTATATTATATTCTGGAAAAGGAGAAAGCATCTGTGTTTCCCACTGGATGGGATGAAGATCCAGGAGTTTAATTTTAGTCTTTCTGGTCATGGGACTTCTGTTTCTTCAAGGTTCGATATTTACTGTCAATAAGAGTGAGATTTTGGGACAGAGTCCCTGTCAGAGTCTGACCAAATTAGTGAATAGTGCATATCCATGAATGTCCCAGGAACCACACTTCTGGGGAAACCATGACTGGCAGGAAGAAGTCTTTGATGGCATCAGGGCTTTGGTCCTAGTTCTGGACACATCCAGTCTTCACATCTTTCTGCCTCCCAAATAGCCACCAACAGGAGTATGAAAGCTCCGGCATCTGAGCAGGATCCTGAGACTTTGCCATAGATGAGAGATCTCCCACTTAGTGGACTTCCTTCATATCAGGGTCCCCAAAGAGCCTTCTTTTCCCACACTTCACTGTCCATGGCTCATTCCAGGAATGAAGAGAGATGCTCAAAGACACACACACACATACATACACACCACACACACACATACATACACACCACACACACACACACACAGAGACACACACACACACACACGCACACACATGGATCATTGGCCACTGTGATGCCTTCCCTGTCAGGAAGCAGGATGTGCCGCCATTTTGTTGGTCCAGAAGGCTCAAAAAACAGGAAGTGCTGCAAGTTTGTGCCAGTAGAGGGCCTCGCTTGGGGTGAGGCAGATGCGAAGCTTTGAAAGAGTGGGGGACACTGTGACAGGGCATGCAGCAAGGGCAGCTCCTGGGACCATGAACAGAGCCAGGCTTGTCTTTGACCTCTTAGGGGACTCTCCTCACACAGCCACCAAAGGGAAGTTGGTCTTTAAAAAGGGAAAAACAAGGACACAACCACCAACAAATTAAAGGAGAAAGAAAACCTCTAGGGTCGCATAACTGAGGTATTGATAGCTCTGGATCTTGTCAGTGTCCGTGAAAGGTGTGGGGTCCCAGCTGCCGCTGTCTACTTGTTCTTGCCCAGGAGTGCATCCACCTCCTCCTCAGGCTTGAGCGAGTGCCACTGGGCGATGGGCCTCCGGGGGTTGGCCAGCATGTCGGACCAGTGCCGCAGCTCTGTGCCCGTGGCATTGCTGCCCACAAAGATCTTGCCTATGGCTTCGTTCTTGCCCAGCTTGTCATAGTCCAGCACAGTGACCACTACCTGGACTTTCTGCGAGAAAAACAAACGAGGGAGGGAGTTGGCAGGCTGAGACATGGGATCCCGTGACCAAATTTCTCCTCCATCAACCTCTATGACAAATGATCAGGAAGGAAAGGCCTCCCAGGGCTCCTTGGTTTCATCTCTGCTCCAGTGAAGACTGAATTGACATGGAGGCAGAGGCCACCCCTTTGGCAGCCTTTGTTTCTACCACTGGATATTTATTAAGGTTGTACTGTGCTCTAGACACCGTGTTAAGCACTTGTATGGAGAGAAGAGGGAAGGAAAAATGAAAAGATGAATTTCACCTCAATGAGATCAACAAACACGTAATTGAAAACTCACAACATGAAGTGATAAAGGTTATACTAGAGAGATAGAGGCACAAGGTACTGTGGAAACTCAGAGGAGGCAACAGTCCTGCTGGGGCCAAGCAGAAAAGGCTTCACAGAGGTGACTAGGACATGAAGTCCTGAGAATTTCTCTAGGAAGAGAAAAAAGGGAAGAGGATTCCCGGAAAACAGATTAGCTTGGGTAGAGGCATAGACTTGAGAGTGCATTTGCATCTGAGAAACATTAGACATTCAGTCACTGAGGTACAGGGGAAGGAGCAGTGAGGCAGGAAATGAAGCGGCAGAGTATGTTGGGGTCAGCCAAGGAGTTTGTGTTTTTGTTTTTTAGGTAAGCAGTAGGGGACGCCTGAAGACTTTAGGAAAAGGAGTGTTGTGGACATCTGAGAGAGACAGCAAGCGAGCCCTGGTCTTGAGGTGGAAGATTAACTGGAGGAGGAGTGGGCTGATGACAGGGAGGACACCCGCTGGGGGATGCTGGAGGTTCTGGGAGGATGGATCCCAAATACCTGAACCAAGGCAGGGACAGTGGGGATGGGAAGTCAAAACCAGGTTGGACAGGTATTCAGGGAGAGAATCAAGAGCACCTGATGTCAGCTGAATTTGCTCAATGGTTGATGCCTTTTTCCCCTGTGACTCCAGCCAACTCAGCTTTGTCCTTTAGGACCAAGCTTTCTCTGGGAAGCCTCATCTGAGTTGCTTACAGTGCTCTGCTTCATGCACATTGAAGCTGTTGTCTCACTGTGCTTTACTGGACTGTTTACTGGTGCCTTCCTGCTGCGAGGTCCTTGAGAGCAACAACTGTGTCTATTGCACACTTAATTCCCCATCCCTTAGCAAGTGCCTGGCACTTAGAAAATGCTAAGAAAAGTATGTTAGATAAATGAGAAAGAAAAAAGGAAATAGCACATCTAAGGTGATGCCCAGGTTTCTGACTTGGGCCACTAGGTAGATGATGGATTCTGGGCCATTCACTGAAAACAGAATTCGGATGAAACAGGCTTGTCTGGGAAGAGGTAGGGAGAAGAACATTACATTGGTTTTAGGCATATTGAATTTGAGACACCTGGGCCAGGATGCACTAGAGCTAAAAGTCTCCGTAATGGGGACTTCTCTTGGATTAACATTATCGCTGAGCTGCCCAATGTTCGCCTGAAGTACTCCCTCAGTAGCATCATACACATCTCCATAGATGACAGTACCAACTCTGAAGATTCTCTTGCACCCTTGTGCCCCAAGCCCTCCTGGGGGGAGGAGAGATGGTGGGATCAGCTCACTACAAAGAAGGAGAGACCAAGACTCCATGGGAATCCACCACTCTGCAAGCCTTCAGCTGCACCTGACTTCCCACCCAAATGGGGGGGGGGGGGTCTTTTCCTCCCCATATCCAGATCCCACTCATACCCAGAAATGCTGAAAACCAGACCTCATCTCCAGCATTTACAGAACTTGCTGGTGAGAAGGAAGGAAGAGTACAGAAGGCTGGAAGGGTAGAGGGAAAGCGAAGAGGAACAGGTCAGATGGGTAGATAGGAAGGTCCTAGAGAGCAGCGGACGCAGGGCAGGGACGGCCAAGGCAGGGTGTGGCTGGAGAGGGCGGAGGAGGTGGCCACTCCCACCCTCTCAGCCAGCTCCAGACCCTTCTGGCACCTTTGCTATACCCCCATACACCTGTGCGCATGACCACAGTCCTCAAAGTCCTAAAGGAATGATATGCAGAATTTTTGAATTAGTTCATGTTTTTTGCCTCAGAAAAGGGGAATCCCCAGAAGAAGCACTTGGAGGCCCCAGCCAGGCACCATTAGACCTCGAGCCTCCCCCCACCCAAGCAAGGCTGTTCTGTGATCTCTGGTGAGTCCCCTCTCTTCAACACCCCCATACATGTTTGCCTCCCCAACCCCTGCTCCATGCCCAGGACCTGAAGGCTCCAGCACCTGAATCTGCTCAAAGGGGATCTCGAAGCTGAAGGACTCGTTGAAGTACGGGTTCAGGGTCTTCTTCTTCACGGTTGTCTTCTTCTTCTTGAGCCGCTTGCCATTCTGCATCAGGTGGATCTTCACATAGGGGTCTGCGGAGGGAGAATACCAGCCCCAGAAAGGTTCCCCTTAGTCCCCCGCCCTCCTGCAGAATGTACCAAGTTCTGCCCAGAGCATCAGTCAAGATGGGCTCTTCATTCTGCTGAGACCAGGCCCTCAGAAAGCCCCAAGTCACGCCATCCAGTTCAAAGGTGGCACAAAAAGCTTCACCTCAAGGACCAACTCTGACCAGTTGGTGGTGGCTTCCTGAAGCATTGGGTGGGGGACATTTCTGAGTGTAAGTAAGGCGTTGTGAGGAAGAGTGTGGGGATTGGCCTGTGATCCTGTACTAGAGAGGGGCGGGGAGTACTGAAGTCAGGACACATCTGCGGGGTCATGATCTCAATCCAATCCTCCTAATCCTACAGATGAGAAACTGAGGCCAAAGAATGGAAATGACCTGCTCGAGGTCACACAGCAGGTCAGTGGCAGAGCCAAGGCTGGCACTGAAACATGCTGGTTGGAGCCCATGCCCAGTGCTGATTCTCCGGGAAGGCGGCTGAGGCAGCAGGCTTCACCCCCCAGAGCCCTGCACCATGGGCCAGCGCCCTTCACTGCCAGGTAAATGTGATATTCAGAGCATCTTCCACCGCCTTCCCTCCCCCTCCTCTTTCCAGGGCAGAGCGAGCAGAGCCTACAGCCTCTTCTAGAAACGCGTCTAGCTTTGGGCAAAGCCCTTCCCACTTCCCTGGGAGAAGTAAAATCTTAAGCCACTAACTCATCTGGGGATGAAATTTCTCTGATCCTTTTTCTCCGTAGCCCACAGTGCATGGCTAGAGAGTGCTGGGAAGGCAGCTCTGATGGGGACAAGGGGCCCTTGAAGAAAAGGAGGGGCTGGGAAGCCAGGGCTCCCCTGCTCCTTGAGGAGACATCTTGGTCCCAGGGCAGCAAAGCATTCCTCCTCTCTGGAGTGTGCAAACTCTGGGACTCAGTGCTGACTGACTGGCTCGCTGGTGCCACCCAATGGCAGTCAGAAGCTCTGCGCGTACCTGAAAGGCCACCCACGTCCATCTTCTTGAGGTTCTTGGCCTCCAGGATGCAGACAGTGAGCTTCCCGGCCGTGGGCACGTAGCGCAGGGAGGTGCAGATGTCGCCCAGCTTCTCTGGCTGTCCAGGGGGGAAAGCAGGACTTAGGTCATCTCAGCCATCCTAGTGCCTCTCTTGTGGCTGACCTGTTTCCTGCTAAAGTTAGCAAGGCAGTGGTGTGTTCCTGCCTCCCTCATCAGTCCCCGTATCTGTGATGGCCAAGAAGGTCTTCCAGCATCTGCCCTAGGGGCCCGTAGACACAGTGCAACAAAGCCCCTGAAAGTGACAGGCTGGGACCTCGCGGGCTGTGGGCGGAGGATGCTGGCAGATGAGGGGGTAGAGGACAGCTGCAGTGGCAGGACCGAGGGAGGGATCCCTGGGTGGATCTGGGATCTGGGAGGTTGGGAGTATGTTTGTGCTCCTACCCCAGGCCCTGGTAAGGTGGGAAGGGGTGTGAGAAGCGGGTGTGTTAGCCACCTGTCCACCTCCAAGGGCCCTGGGGGACTGAATGTCTCGGAAGCCTTCTTTCCTTCATCACCTCCACCCACCAAGGTCTCTGTGAACCATTCCACTTGCAGAGTGATTTGTGGTTTTCAGAGCAATTTGCATCCCTTCTTATGTTACTATCACTGCAGCTCTTTCATGTAAATAAGACAAGAATTCTTTGTAACCAATGAGAAACTGAGGTTCCCAGAGGCGGATGGTTTGCTCGAAGTCATGAACAATTTAGCACTGCAGGCGGGCTGAGGACCCAGGCCTCCTAATTCCTAAGGCCAGCACCACACTGCAGAGTCAAAACTGCTCAGAGTCAGAGCCACCCAGCCCAAGACTGACCACATTGCACAGGTCCTGGTTCAGGCATGCTGAACCCCCTACAAGGCACAGGGGACAAAAGGGACAAAAGGATGTCTTAAGCTTCCCCACTCAGCCTTCCATCACTGCCTACAGTGTGCTGGGTAGCAGGGCCTTGGCCAAGACAAATGATTGATGCCCAGAAGGAGGAATGGCCAAAATGGAGTTTTAGGTACACAGCAATTGCTCAGCAAATATTTAGTGAGTCCATGGATGGATGCTGCAGCAGTTCTGGGAGGACAAGTCCCCCTGCTGAGTATCCTTCAGAACAAACATGAGCTTTCCTTATGGGTAAACTGAGGCACAGAGGCATGAATCGCTGGCCTTAGGTAATAGCAGAAGCTTAGGAGTAACAATAATGGTATTTTTATTTATGAGTACCTACCAAAATACCAGTCACTACGCTAGGTGCTTTACATAAGTAGTGAATCCTCATCTGTAAAAAAAGACTAAAAGGAGGGAACCTGCGTCCAAAGAGTGTAAGCAGCTTGCACAGGGTCACACAGCCAGGCAGTGTGGAGCTAGGGTCCTGACACAGGTCACCTGCCTCCAAAGCCCACCCAATTTCCAACATGCCAAGAGGAAAAAGCCCACCTCTACATTCGTCCTTCTGCCCAATCTGGCCTCATCTCTGCTCTTACCTCCTCCTTCTCCCCACCTTGCAGGTCTCTCCACTCCTCGATGGGCTGGCCAAGGTCCACCGTGTTCATAGGTACCTTTACCTCTCCAATGATGTCATGTTTGGAGAAGCGGTCAAAGTCGTAGATGGCCATCACCAGAGTTTTGCCCCCGAGCTCCTGGTATGGCACCTGCAAGGCACAAGCAGAATCAGAGGGGGCCAGAGCAACTCATGCACCTCCAAGGGTACTGTGGGCAGGTCCCTGGGCAGGGGTCTCTATTCCAGCCCATAGGGTCCCGGTTAGTGTATGGAGGCAAAGAATACGCAGGGCTTTGGGGGAGCAGAATGAGAGCGGGGCTTGGGAGGGATCCTGATTCTCCAAAGAGGCTGGGGAAGTTCTGCAGTCCAGGCTGCCATTGTTCCAGGCTGAGCCCTGGCTAAGGACCAAGGAAAGGTCTGTAGAACTCAGCAGAGAATTGGGATCAGGGAGGGAGCCGGGGTCACCCTTCCAGCCCTCATCACCTTGAAGGTGAAGGTTTCGTTGAAGGCAGGGTTCAATGTCTTCCGATGGACTTTGGTCTCATATTTCTTCTTCTTGTCTGGAAGGAGGAAGACCTTGACGTAAGGGTCTGAGGTGCCTCCCATGTCCAGGGCAGGCAGTTCAGCAGCCTGCAGAACGCCCACAGTAAGCTGTGGAGAGAGATGAGGAGAAGAGGGCCTGAGTCTCAGCACTGCTCCAACACGATTGGCCCCAGACCCAGCTCCAACACGATTGGCCCCAGACCCAGCTCCCACCAATTCCTTCCCAGAGAGGGCAGCAGGGGCAGGGGGATCAGGGGAGGCTGGTGCTAGAGGGGAAGGTTGGTCTCCATTTCCATCCCAAGAAATTTGGAATGGCATTTAGGGAACCGGAAGTTGAACGAGAAATTGCTTTGCCCAAGGTTGGTGGGCAGCCTAATAGCATAATCAACCTGGAACCTTGCCCAAAGCAGGCTGGTGGCCACCCCAGCATCGATGTCCAGAGAGAGCTATAGGCCCTGCAGTTTCCAGCCTCCCTCACCCTATGGAAAGGAGCAGCCCCCACACACCTCGGAGGGAGCTGTTTCTATCCCCCTCCCACCCAGCTCCCAGTTCCCCACTCTGCCCAAACAGCCCTGCATACCTGATTAGCCTGAAAATCATAGTCCAGGGAAAACTGCAGTTTGCCCAGGTTCTCTGGCTCTTTCTCCTCCTCCCCTTCACCTTCCCCCTCAGTCAGGCCTGTCTCTGCATCATCGTCATCCTGTGGGTGCTGGGGGAGAGAGAGAACAAGTTAAAGGGGAGAACAGAGCAGCCTGGCTTGGCACAGGGTGACGGGAAGCCAGCCCCTCTGTGCCAGCCCCTGACTCAGAGCTGTGTGTGGTGGGGATAAGAGGGAATGTGGCCCTGCTGTGGGACCCTCCTTCATGCCCATCAGAACCCCAGGCAGCCCCACTACCCCAGCCCTGTGTTTGAGACGTGGCTCTGGTTTGGGCACCGCTCTCCTCCCTGTGAGGCACAGTGCGCTAAGGGACCAGGCCCTGTGCCAAGTGCTTCACAGCTTCTGGAGGCAGGGGTGGGAGTGGGATTTGCTTCCCTTGTAAGCCTTCTCCCCAGCACTTTCCCCAGCTCAGGCCCCACACATCCTGGGCAAGACATACCAGAAGTACGGTCCAGGCAGACAGGAGCAGAATGAGCCCACAGAGGTGGAGAGAGAAAGAAGAAAGCGATGTAAGAGAAAATCCTGCAGCTCAAACCAGCCCCTGAAGTCACCACAGCCACTCAGCGAGACCAGGCTGGGCTACACCCAAGTCATCCTGGAACCCCTCCCAATGCACACTAGCACACACTGCAGGTTCCTTTTGGACACACACACACACACAGGCCACTTAGATCCCTGGCTTCTTGAGATCAGGCTCTTCCCTCCATATGGATTCCTTGAGAAAGAGATTCCTCCTAGTCACCACCAAAACAAACATGGGGAAAAGGGAAGCACACAGTGGCCTCTACAGACTTAAAAGAAGAAAAGGAGGTTTCTAGGCTGACCAACATCAAAAGACTGGGGAAAATAAATGAAATCATCACATGATTAATGATAGATTCCACTTGGCTCAGTCTGGGTGCCTCAGGGCCACTCTTCTGCCTCATTTGATTCCCACCCTACAACCAGTTAGATGCCTCCCGTGAGATAGCATCCTTTAGCCTCTGGCAGGAAAACACATGTTTCCTGATGGTGTCTTGCTGGTGGGGGGGTGTCTCTTTCCAACATTTTGTCCCAGTAGCCTCATTGGGGGGTCAATATTTTGTTGTCCTTCACTGTCTTTTGAGTTCATGCTAACACAGGAATAAGGTTCCCACTTCTCAGGGGCCTCCAGGTAAATGGTGTTACACTAGGGATATAATCGAGAGAGCTGAGGTTCTTTTTCTTTTTCTCTTTTTTTTTTTTTTTTTTTTTTTTTTGAGTTTTGTTCTTGTTGCCCAGGCTGGAGTGCAATGGCAAGATCTTGGTTCACTGCAACCTCTGCCTCCTGGGTTCAAGTGATTCTCCTGCCTCAGCTTCCCCAGTAGCTGGGATTACAGGCATGCACCACCATGCCCAGCTAATTTTGTATTTTAGTAGAGAAGAGGTTTCTCCAGGCTAGCCGGGCTGGTCTTGGACTCCTGACCTCAGGTGATCTGCCTGCCTCAGCCTCCCAAAGTGCTGGGATTAGGGGCATGAGCCACCATGCCTGGCCTGAGAGAACCGAGTTTTAAGGAGGGGAGCTGGTTTGGCTGTGGAAGACCAGGAGCCTCTGCTTCCCCTTTCAGTATCAGGAAAGCCTAGGCTAAGCCCCTTCCAGTCCCCCTCACAACCAGTGTGCCCTACCTGACCCCCTTTCATGTCCTTCATGTTCATGGCATTCTTCATGCCTTTGCCTTTCTCCTTCTTGTTCTTCTTCTTCTTGCAGCAGCACTTCTTGCAGATGCAGAAGCAGCACGTAAGGAGCAGGAGCCCAGCAACCACAGCAATAGCGATCAGGGCCCAGGGTGGTACTGCCCACACAGAGAAGACCCGGGGTCAGCAGCGCCATGCCTTGCAGCCCCAGACCCCGTAGCACTGGCAAAAATGGGTCAGGAATAGGACTGCCCTCCCACAATGCCCACACCACACATTTTAAAAACCACACACCCATGAGTGATTTGCATGTAAGTTGCATACACTTTGCATGCCTTTTCATTAATACCTTGCCTTTTTTTTTTTCCTACTGCCCTTGTTGGTATAGCCTGCCGGCTGACAGGTATCAACCAGCTGTATGCATGAAAGAATATCAGTTTAGCTCTATTGAGTTTGACTAGTGTGATCTACGGAGGAGCGGCTCATACTGCAGAGGATGGGATGATGCTTATCGGTCCCTTGGCCTCCATCCCTTGTGCCAAGTCTTGAGAGGGCTGATGCATAGCCCGATGGGCCAAGCTCTTTAAGATTGAGTCTGGACCTAGACCACTGCTGGGCTTTGCAAAACCCAACTGTTTGGGGATGGGCTCTGGGCTGCTCTCCGTGGTTCTGAAGCACCATCTCCTACCAGTGTGGCTGCTCCCCATTAAACTGCATCTCTGGTGTCTCCTATACAGCCTCTGCCAAGAATTCAAAAGCAGCAGGGGCTTTTATTTTCTGTCTTCCAAAATAAATGTCAAAGTGTTATTGGCAAACTTGAACAGTGACTTCTGTTTCATATTTTTCGTCTCCTTTTGGTTTCATCTTTGGACAGTTTTTTAAATTATAAGAACTTTTCTTCCCCTGAGAAGTTGAAGCCCATAAACCCCCTTGTTTGCTACATTAATGGCAGACCCTACTTCCCCCTCCAAAAATCCAGCCTGAAATCTGAGCATTAGGAAAGAGCACAGCCAATCACATCCCAGTGGTGTACCCACCCTTTCTCACCCCTCTCAGACTCTATCCTTGCCCCACCTTTTCAGCCACCAGGTGCACTCACAGGGAATCTTGTTGATCTCATTGAAAAACTTCTCCTTCAGTTTGGCAAACATGTCCTCCTGGCTCTCCCCAGCACCCCCACTCTCAGTGGAGTTGGAGTTGTCCACGGGTCCGATGGGCATCGTGGCGGTGGTGGTGGCAGGAGCCACAATGGGCTCCTGGTTCCTCTTGAAAATGTTCCTCATGGTGGCAGAGGGGACAGCTGGGGAATGAGAGGGGAAGAGGGCAGGATGAACATCCCAGAGGTCATCTTCCCCTCAGAAAGCCCAAAGGACCAGGAGAAGCTCTTTATAGATCGAAGATGTTTTGCACAATATGAACAACTGTTGTAAAACAACAATAATAGACATCATCCAGTTAGTACACAGTCAGCCTGGGCAGCATAGCAAGAACATTTGAACTTTTTGTTTTTTAAATTAGGCATGGTGGAAGCTGAAGTGACAGAGGATCACTTGAGTCCAGGAGTTTGAGGTTAGTCACATGAGCTATGAGTAACTAAGTAAGATTCTGTCTCTTTAAAAAAAAATAGTACATTATGTGTCAGGCCCTATGCAAAGCACTTTCCATGCATTGTTCATCTAATCCAAACAACAACCTAATGGTTTTTGTTGTTTCCATTTAACAGAAGGGGAAACAGGTTCAGAGAGGCTAGACAGTTTTTCCAAGGTCACTTAGCTGGAAGCTCTGAAACTGAGGTTTGAACTAGTCTGCCCAACTCCAGAGCGTGCACTGCTCTCCTGTATCTCTCATTTAAACCTAACGTCACAACTCTAGGAAGGAGACAAGGTTTTGCACTGAGAGCTCCTCTTTCAACCTCTCTCCTTGACTTCCAAGGATTTTCAGACATTGCTCTGTCTAGATTCTCTGCCTATCTCCATGACACTTGAACTCTCATCATCCCTGACTCCAAGTCCTCCTCCTGCCCTCCAAGACTCTCTCCTCAGCCCTCAGCGCTTTCTTCACTGGGTCCCTCAGTGCTCACTCGGGGTTTGTTGACCTCTCCTCTAGGAAGACAGCACCCGCATCTCCATCTCTAGCCCTTCCTCCCTGGTCTACTCCGTAGCCCCTGCCCCACATGCACCTGCACACTAGCCTTCCTGCATCAAAGATGCCATGTTTATTAATAACACAACCCAGACTTACTGTCGAAAGTTTGAGGGGAGAGAGAGAGAAAGCCCTCTTAATTCTATCATCCAGAGACAACTAGTATTTGGGGCAGTCTATGCTGGTATTTTTCTGAGTATGTTTTACATGATGAGACCATACTATATATAGGTTTTTTTTTTTTGAAGATTATTTTACATAAAACTTCATCATAAGCCTTTTCCTTTGTTAAATTTTTTCTTTAAATAGCTACTACATGGTAACACCATAATTTGTTTAGCCATTTCACTATCAGACATTTAGGCAGTTTTCAACTTTTTGCTGGTTAAAAGCTGAGCATACATGTTGTTCTTCATTTAAGGTCATGTTCTTATGAGCTTCCAAACTCTGCCCACTGCATTCTGTCCTCTCCACCAAGCTCTTTCTGCTTCTCGGGGCTATGCACTCATTTCTCAACTGAAGTCCCATGAGGGCAGATCCTGTGCTGGCAACAGCACCCCTCATGCCAAGCACACAGTAGGCACTCAGGAGGTATTTGTTGACTGAGCTGCTCTGAGGGAACATAGCAGTGTACACCCACAGATATTCTAGGATGCAAGGATACACAGCACAACTCCCTGACGCATCCATTTTACTGAATGGCAGTTTACAGTATTTTCAAATTAAAACAAGCTGAAAATATAGAGTAGGATGCATACAGCACAAGAATTTAAAGAAAAACGTGAGACTTTTCTCACTGCATGCTAGGGATGAGTCATCTCTCCTCTGGACTCAGGCTTCCTCTGAAGGAATGTTTTAGGAGCTCTGAAGTTCTGTCCCTTTCTTTAAAAACCTGCTGAGATCCCCTCCCCAGCCCTGGAGACTGTTCCAACCTTAAGTACTTCTGGTAACCTGTACATTGATGCAATGCATGTTTATTCACCAAGCATTTATTAAACTCTTACTACATGACATGTTGAAATAGTCTTGACCCCAAAACTGAGTTTGAAATGAAAAAACAAGGTGCACTGGACTTCCCCTCTGGGGGCAGAGAGATGGATCGAGTTTGGTGAGAACTTCAAGGAGCCACACCAGGGGATCAAGAGGAGCGTCCAGGCCTTCACCATGTCCATCTCGCCTCACTTTCACCAAAGCGTCTAGGACTCTGTGACTTTTTTAAAGCAGCTTTATTGAGATGTAATTCATATACCTTATAAACCACCCATTAAACTGTACAGTTCAGTGGTTTTTATTGTATTCACAGAGTTTGTGCAACAATTAGCAGTCTCATTTAGAACATTTTCACCACCTCAAAAAGAAACCAGGTCCCATTAGCAGTCACTCCCATTCTCATCCTCTTCCCAGCTCCTGCAACCAATCATCTACTTTCTGTCTCTATAGGTTTGTTTATCTCAAACATTTCATATCACTGGAATTAGGAAATGTTGTCTTTGTGACTAGCTTCTTTCATTCAGTATGATGTAGCATGTATCAGTATCTCATTCCTTTTTTATTGCCATGTGATATTCCACTATGTAGGTAGAACACTTTTTTTTTTTTTTTTTTTTTTTGAGGCAGAGAGAGAGTGGTGTGCAGTGGCGCAACCAATCCTTACTACAGCCTCCACCTCCAGGGCTCAAGTGATTCCCCACCTCGGCTTCCTGAGTAGCTGGGACTACAGTTGCATACCATCATGCAGTCTAAATTTTTTTTTTTTGTAGATACAGGGTCTCCCTATATTGCGCAGGCTGATCTTAAGTTCCTGGCCTCAAGCAATCCTCCCACTTCAGCCTCCTGAAATGTTGGCATTACAGGTATGAGCCACCGCACCTTGCCTAAAACATATCTTTATCCTTCATCAATTTATAAACATTTGGGTTTCCACTTTTGCCTATTGTATAACTAAATATAGCTAATAATATCCTACTTGTGAGATATTATGAATGATGCTGCTATGAACATCCATGTATAAGTTTTTGTTGTGGATATATTTCTCTTGGGTAGATATTTAAGTACGGAATTGCTGGGTCATAACTATGTTTGACATTTTAAGGTGCCAGCACCAATTTAAGTTCCCACCAGCAATGTATGAGGGTTTTAAGTTCTCCACATCCCAGACAACACTTGATATTATGTCTTTTTGTTCATAGGAATCCTAGTAGAGGTGAACTGGCATTTCACTGTAGTTTTGATTTGCATTTCCCTGATGACTAACGCTGCACATCTTTACATGTGATTATTGGTCATTTGAGTGTCTTTCATAGAAAAATATCCACTGAAATCCTTTGGCCATTTTAAGATATTCATCTTTTTTTTTACTGAGTTGTAAGAATTTCTGTATATTCTGGATACCAGTTCCTTATTGAATATATGATTTGCAAATATTTTTTTCCCATTCTAGGGTCATATTTTTGTGTGTGTGTTTGAGATGGAGTTTTGTTCATCATCCAGGCTGGAGTGCAATGGGGCAATCTCAGCTCACTGCAATCTCCGCCTCCCAGGTTGAAGTGATTCTCCTGCCTCAGCCTCCCAAGTAGCTGGGATTACATGTGCTCACCACCACGCCCCACTAATTTTTGTATTTTTAGTACAGAGTTTCACCATGCTGGCTAGGCTGGTCTCAAACTCCTGACCTCAGTTGATCTGCCCTCCTCAGCCTGCCAAAGTGCTGGGATTACAGGCATGAGCCATTGCGCCTGGTCATATTTTTATTTTTTAATGGTGTCCTTTGAAGCAAAAGCTTTCAATTTCGATGATGTCCAATTTAGCTATTTCTTTTGTTGCCATATTTTTGATGCTATATCCAAGAAACCATCAATAAACCCAAGGGCACCAAGATTTGCTCCTATGTTTTCTTATGGGAGTTGCATAGTTTTAGCTCTCCCATTCAAGTCTACAATCCACTTATTTTTTGAGACAGGGTCTCACTCTGTCACCCAGGCTGAAGTGCAGTGGCATGATCATGGCTCACTGCAGACTTGGCCTCCTGAGCTCAAGCAGTCCTCCAGCTTCAGCTTCCAAAGTAGCTAGAACTACAGCCATGTGTCATTACACCTGGCTAATTTTAAATTTTCTTCTAGAAATGAGGTTCTACTGTGTTGCTACAATCCACTTTTGAGTTTATTTCAGGTCCACAGTCCACTCTGAGTACAGTGTAAGGAAGAGGTTCAAATTCATTCATTTGTATGTGGATATCCATTTGATACAGTAACATTTGTTGAAAACCCTATTCTTGCCCCCGTCCAATTGTCTTTGTTCCCTTGTAAAATATTAACTGACCATAAATACAAGGGCTTATTTTTGGATTGTCAATTCTATCTGTATGTCTAACCTCATGGCAGTACTGCACTTTCGTTTTTTTAACAGCACCTGCCTGCTGTTGACCACACTGTCTTGATTACCATAGCTTTGTGGTAAGTTTTGAAATCAGGCAGTATGGGTCTTCCAACTTGCTTTTTTTGGGGGGGGTAGGGGAAGTGGTTTGAGACAGGGTCTCACTCTGTCACCCAGGCTGGAGTACAGTGGTGTGAACATGGCTCACTGCAAACTTGACCTCCGGGCTCAATCAATCCTCCCCTCTCAGCCTTCTGAGTAGCTGGGACTACAGCCCCATGCCACCACAACTGGCTAATTTTTATATTTTTGTAGAGACAGGGTTTCACTATGCTGCCCAGGCTGGTCTAACTCCTGGGCTTAAGCAATCCACCCACCTTGGCCTCCCAAAGTGCTAGGACTACGGGCGTGAACCACTGCACCAGGCCTTGTTCTTTAATCAGGATTGTTTTGGCTATTCTGGGTTCCTTGAATTTCCATAAGAATTTTAGGACCAGCTTCTTAATTGCTATAAAAAAGCTGGAATTTTTGGAGGCATTGTGTTGAATCTGTAGATCAGCTCAGGGATCATAACAATATTGAGTTTTTTACACTATTTTTTCATTTATTTACACCTTAATTTCTTTCAAGATTGTTTTGTAGTTTTCAACATATACATTTTGCACTTCTTTTGTTCCTAGGTATCTTATTCTTTTTGATGCCATTATAAATGGAATTATTTTCTTAATTTCACTCTCAGATTGTTCATTGCTAGTGTATAGAAATATAACAGATTTTTATATCTCA